TCTTTGTCAAGAAAAGTTGTATATTTTGTCAGGAAAAGTTTTTGTGACGTTAATGTCGTCAAGGAAGATTGGTCACCTATATGCCGTCGGTAAAAGGTTTTCCTGACAACTAGTGGAATTCTCATTAGGAAAAGTTCCATTTTCTGTGACGTGTCATCAAGAAAGGTAATCGTGATGATTTGATCGTCAGGGAAAGACCTCATATTCTTGACAAACCTTTGTCGGGAAAGACCCTGAACTTTGTCACTAAATTTTTTATTGTCAAGAAAAGTCATGCGTTGAAACTTGCTGGACATACATTAATGACAATTCAATGTCATTTTTCCTGACGACAGCTGCATCACTATAATATATTAATTTCTAATTTCACCATTCAGCCTTTTTAAGCCCAGCAATTTTAGAGACAACAAAATGATAATATCATCTATTTAGACACTCCGCCCAATCAAAATATAAAAGTATGCAAGCAAAATGTCAACCAAAACTTCACAAATTTCATTAGTAGGCAACCATAATATGTCAAACCACAAAAGTTAACCATGTCAAACATTTACATATCATTACATTCCATGATTTGAAACCAATATAAATATTGCTATTTCTCCCTAGATAACTGCCATATACCTAACATGTGCTAAAATCGAAAGATGGACTTCAATTCCATGGTCAACAAAATACTAGAGATAGATGATATCAAAATAGAGGAATTCTTCAGTATGAGCTAAAAGCAGTCCAAAAGCCAAAAGCAGTCCACAATGTTGAGTTTATCCCAAACTCAAAAGCCAAAAGCCAAAAGCAATCCCAAAAGTTCATCCCAAACCTGTACAATAAAGCCAAGAAAAGTCTGAAATCAGAGAAACAATAGAATGGTATGGAAAAGATGTATTTTTGTTATGATGCATAGATGACCACTACAAATTGCTTGGGGACCACCTAATCATGAGTACAAGCAATACAAGAATAATTACTATGTTGCAGTAACCAAGTTGTTCCACAATAGTAAGTAATTGCACATAAATACTTTTGTTTTGAATAAAGATCTACAAACTCACCATTACTAGGAAGACCCTCCACACTGCTTCTGTTTCCAAATGAGGAATTCTTGCAGCATTTCCTGTATCCCTTGCTGGATTTGTACAAGATTTTGGATTTGGGTATCTTGTGCTTGAATTCGCTCCTCATAGCATTGAATCTTCTCCTTGCACTGTTTTAGTTCTTCAAGTAGTGCTCTATTAGCTGAAGATTCGGGTTTGCGAGAAGATTGGGGTGGTTTGACCCCCATACCCAACCCTTTGGCACGACCAGCCCTCTTTCCTAGGACATTTTTCATAATTTTTACTTCATTGACAGTTTCTCCATTCTCAATGCATTGCCTTCTCTCTCCTTTTAACTCATCCTGTACATATTAGATTCACATAACTCAAGGAGTCATTAAATGTATAATATATATGTAAATGTCCGTTACTAATAAAAAAATAAAGTTACTAGAATCAGCTTACTATAGTGAAAATTACATCGAGAGATTTTGCAGTATTATTTACAAATTGGCCATCCTTTTTTATGTGAGCAGCAGTCCAGGCATCAATTGCACTTGGTGGAACCTATTTTATAACATAAAAGATCTCGAGTTAGCTCTAGTTTTCTTCCTAGTATAAATATAAGCCAAAATGGAAATAAAAAATCAGTAATATACCAACTCTTGTGCTCAAACATGATTTGATTTTGAACCGCCAGTGTGCGGATAGGGTAACATGGCATGGTTCTTTGTATTGGCTTCTGATTTTTTCTATTAAATACCAAAAAGATAGTTAGACAAGTGTAAGAAAGGCAACAAAAGAATTAAGATCATGCAAGTAAACAAAAATAGAATCAATCACCTTGAATATAGGATCTTCGAACCAATCACACATACTTTTCCACTCATCTTGCTTAATCCAGTCATAATGACACGAGGTAAGTGGATATTTTCCAGCTGTCTTCAACATCTTGTAATCTATGTGCATAGTATTCGTCCACTACCTGTAGCTATTCTGAAGCATGTCATCCATATACTTTTCCACATTAGGATCAGTTTCCCGGTCTTTGAAGTCAAACCATCCCTATAAATTACCGTTAAGAAATTAACGTTTTTAGAATTGGTCAAGTCAGCAAAATAACTATTAACACACGGAATGTCATTATAAAAGACAACGGTGTAATCTGGTACCCTCAAGCCACCATATAGGTTCTGTTTTTTCTCATTTGGTATGTCATCATATGTGTGTATGTCCTTTAGTGAAGAGAGGTGCCTTACAACATAACCTACACCACTAGCAAGTTGAGCAGCATACTTGATTGGTTTGCAACATCCTTCAGGAAAGACAATTTCCAATGGCTTGCCTCCCTAATATTAACAAATGAAGCATCACTCAGGTATACCCCAATTGAATAGACAGTAATATTATATATGTACACATCTTAGTACTGAATGGCATTTACATTAGCTCGTATCATCTTCTCCATAACTTTTCCTGTGGTTGGGCCCCTGCCTTTTTTTTTTTGCTTTCTTTGTTCTGTGAACAATTGTTAAACATTCTAGTTGATGCTTATTATGAATTATCACAAAAAGGATGCATACATTGAATGGTAAGAATTAAATCATTATTCAGCATTTTCACTTACCATTTGCCAATGCATGAGTAGGATTACTATTATTTGAATTAATCTGGATATCATCACCTATGGTAGTTGATTGATGCTCCAAAGTTGAGTTTGAAGTTTGCGGTTGTTCAGATTGCAAGTTGGTATTGGGTGGGTAGTTTGTCTTCAACCGTTTCCCGGAAGGTGCCATCTGCAATAACACAGTATATGATAAAAAAGGAGTCAAATTAGTAAAATTTTGATGTCAAATCATAAACAGAGATCAAAATTTAAGTTATACCAAAAACTTAACAAAGAGTTAAAACATGAACAGGATATCAATTTGATCAATATTGGGTAAAACCACAAAAAGTCTTTGCAACCTAGCTTTTAATGGAAAGTACCACATCACCTTCTGTGGAACATTTTTTTTCTTGCCATTATTGACTTTCCCACGTGATTCTTTACAAATAGGACACTTGTCCATCTTTTCATTTTCTTTCCAAAACAATGCACAATCAAATTTGCAAACATCAATTTTTTGATACCCCAAACCTATACCAGATAAAATTTTCATGGCCCCATAAAAACTAGATGGAAGTATTTCTCCTTCTGGTAACAAATCTTTTAAAAATTCTAGCATCATGTCAAATGCATTGTTAGTCACATGGTTCATCACTTTGATATGGAGAAAGGAAACAATGAAACGCAGCAGGGAGTATTTTTTGCATCCCAGGTATAATTCTCTTTGTGCATCATTTAACAATTTGTCAAAATTTTTTGAATCCCATTCACTCGATGTCCCTGATTCATGTGCATTTCTTATCTCATCCAATAAATCAGGTAACTCATCAGATTCACCATTTTCATTCATATCAAAGTCATTATATACTGTTTCATTGATGAAAACTGTCTCACCTCCAACACCATCCTCATCAAGGTTATTGTTCTTTCCACTTGACATATAAGAGTGTGCAGAAAATGGTTCCCCATGGAAGACCCAATTTTTATAATACATACAAAAGCCTTTTTCTGACAAATCTGATTCAACTTGAGAAATGCTTTTTCTCTTTGAATTCCTACATCTCCTACAGGGACAAAATAATTTTTCATCCAATCCCATACCATTGGTCTTAGCAAATTCAATAAAATCCTTAAGACTATACTTATAATGACTTGACAAAATATTTGGATCATTTATCCAGCTCGTATCCATTTCCGATACCTAGAATAAGAAAAGTCTTAATTTACTAAACTCAAGGCATTGTCAAAATGAATAACTCAAAAAGGAGGAAAGACAATTTCTAGCTATAAAAAGATAAAGGAGGCAAAAAGACATAGAATTATTCACAATTCACCTACTTTTTATGGCTTAGTTATGAATTCCAAGCTACTTAGATTATTCACTAATTACATCAAATGCTATACTACTCAATAAAACTGAAAACACATTAGATTATTCACTAATTACACCAAATGGTATACTACTCAATAAAACTAAAAACACATTCCTGATTGTACTATTCTCCTATTATTTAATTGTATATGCTCTTGCATAGTACATAACAAAACATTAAACATCATAACCCATAACTTGATTTACATAAATAAGGATGTAAACCATAACATAATTTGCCTGATACTAGCAGTCATGATAAACACTTTTCATTCTTTATGGTAAGCTACCAAATAACCACATACCTCAAATTATGCAATCTTTTCTCAGGTTGTACCCTTTCTTCTCTACCAAAGTAGTGAGAATGCAGGTCTGCTCAGCTAAATATGAAGAAATGTGAAATTAGATATTTTAAGAAAATCATCATACATAACCGACAACAATCAAAAACTTTTTTAGTAACATAAAAAAAAACAAAATTACCTTCCTAAAGCCTGATTAGAATTGTAACTATCCCATTGATCTTCTATTCGAACCAATCCCTTTCTAGACAAAAAAAGACGAGGGAGGGGGATGGCAAAACACACATCAACTTGTGGAGTAAAGATTGGCAATGTATATAACTAAAATTGAGAAAGGAGCAAAAGATGGTACAAGATAAAATATACACATTATTCTTTGACATAAAGGCCATTCATATGTTGATTGAAATTGCAACCCATAATGACAATTATGAGAGCTAACTAAACCAGAAATGAATGTAAAGAAACAAAAGAAAAGAAATTCAGCAAGTTTGTAAATTGCTAATTAGTCTACCCACGGTGTTAGAACATAGGATATGAGAAGCCGGGAACTTTCCAACATTTATTTAGCTGGCTGCAAGCTTCGAGGGACTCTACCAAATTTCACAACCCCTGATTCATTAAGCTCTTTGGACTTGTCAAATAACTATTTCACTGAAGGTATTTCAAATTTTTTCACAAGGATGACAACCTTGGAACAGGCCAAGCTTTCAAACAACCAACTGAAGTCTGATGTATCTGCAATCAAATTGCCAGATGGACTTTCATCAATTGACCTCCATTCAAACCAACTCTACGGTTCTCTATCAAGTATTCTAAGCAACAAGACAAGCAAGTTTCTGGAGGTAGTTGATATTTCAAACAATCAAATTTCAAGTACCATTCCTGAATTCAGCAATAGTTTGAACCTGAAAGTGCTCAACATAGCAAGCAACAAACTTACAGGTTACATTCCCAATTCAATCTCCAACCTTGCTAAGGTTGAATGATTGGACATTTCTAGGAGGCACAATCCCAACCAGTTTAGGATTGTTGCTCAAGTTGCAGTGGTTGGATTTGTCCATCAACACACTTTCCAGGAAAATCCTTGACAGCTTGCTACAGATTGAAGCGCTGAGACACACAAGCTTCAGGGCCAACAGATTATGCGGTGAGATCCCACAAGGAAGACCATTGAACATCTTTCATCCAGTAACTTATGCCCATAATCTGTGTTTATATTGCAGGCCCTTGCCACCTTCTAAGGGAAAGAAGTGATAGGAAAGGATGGGCCAGCACAATGCTGACTCGATCAATGAGGATGATACAATTGCTCAAGCCAAGTTAGCCTTGCATCAACAATCAATTTTAGTTGTTTCTTAAATACCAGTCAAGCTACACATTCTTCTGTATCTCATGATAGAATCTTTACTCAAAGAACTTAGTACTTACTCCTATTAATTCAAATCAAGAAAGTTCTTTTCTCTTTAAAAAAAAAAATCTTTCATCAAACGGGTAAACTAAAAATTGTAACTTTTCTGTTAAATAGCAAAGTAACAAAACTTACAGAAAGACTTGCAGCTATTGTACCAGAAAACAACATTATAACTACCAAAAAAAAGGAACAAAAACCTATCTTGGGTTTTGACAAACAGAGAAAGGGAGAGATGAATAAAATACCCACTATAAAAATAAAAAAATGGAACCAATTAAGGACAAAATTGAAGGGGATTTGGAGAAAGGGAGCTGATTCAAGACAAAATTGAAGGATTATTTGATTTTTACATCACCTTAGACCATCGTGTTGTCTCTCTTGTTGAAAGAGATGAAGACAAGTTCGGTTGTTGTTCTTTGTTGTTGGAGATGAAGACAAACTATAGATTTGGAGAAAGTGTTACTTTGTTGTTGTTGTTCCAAAAGTAATGAAAATAGGAAAAATGCTTCTTGTTTCCCGGTGTCTATGTCATAAGGACAAGATGTCCTCCTAAATTCCTTTTCGGTCCAAAAGGGGAAAAAATCTGGTGGGAAAAAAATGGAGGGAGAATGAAAACTTTTCCTAACGAATTGATATGGAGAAAGTAACTTTAGACAATGAAATAAATAGAAAAACACGTTTAAAGTAGCAGCGCCTTTTAAGGACATTTGCTTGACGGGTTGTCATAAAAAGGCATGATTTTTTTAACGAATAGGTTAGTTGTCACGAAAAATTTGTCACGAAAGAAATAATTTTTTGTAGTGTACCACAAAGATGGAGTCACGTCCTTTTTTTGTCCTAGGTAAACCAAGAATAAAGTCCATAGAAATATCCACCCAAGGTTCACTAGGTATAGGCAAAGGCATGTAGAGACCATGTGGGTTTACCTTGGACTTGACGCGAAGGCATTGAATGCATCGTGCAACCTCTCTCTCGACATCCCTTCACATGTTTGGCCAGTATAAGTGCTCTTGTAAGATAGAGAGAGTTTTAACTATCCCAAAGTGTCCCATTAGTCCCCCACTATGGGATTCTTTAACTAGTAATTGACGAATTGAGCATTTAGGGATGCATACGCGGTCTAAGTAGTAAAGGAACCCGTTGTCTATGAAGAATTTCTCTTGGGCCTTTTGCTTGCATGCTTTAAACACTAACTTAAAATCGTCATCAATTGTATATAAGTCTTCGATAAGCTCAAAACCAAATAATTTAGCATCTAAAGTAGCAAGAAGTGTGTACCTTTGTGAGAGTGCATCAGCGACTATATTAGACTTACCAGTCTTGTATTTTATAACCATACGGGAAAGTCTCTATGAATGAGATCCATCGCACATGTCTCTTACTAAGCTTGTTTTGAGATTTGAGAAACTTGAGTGATTCGTGGTGAGTGTGTATGACAAACTCCTTGGGCCGTAGGTAGTGTTGCCACACTTGTAGTACTCGAATCAAGGCGTACAACTTCTTGTCATAGGTGCTGTAGTTCAACATTGCACCATTCAGTTTCTCACTAAAGTAAGCAACTGGTCATCCTCCTTGGATCAGCATTGCTCCTATGCCAATCCCTGATGCATCACATTCAATTTCAAAAGTTTTAGAGAAGTCAGGAAGAGAAAATACGGGTGCGGTGCGTGCGTGAGTGCATGTTTAAGAGAGTTAAAGGATTTGTCCTGTTCTTCACCCCAGTGGAACGATACATCCTTTGAAATAATGGAGGTCAATGGTGTAGCTATGGAGCTAAAATCACGCACAAAGCGTCGATAGAAGCTTCTAAGTCCATGGAAACTCCTTACTTCCCCAATGCTGGTCGGTCTTGGCCATTCTTGGATGGCTTTGATTTTACTCTCATCCACCTTGATGCCCTGTGAACTCACAACATAGCCTAGGAACGCTAGTTGGTCAGTGCAAAAAGTACATTTCTTTAGATTAGCATATAGGCGTTCCTTTCGAAATACATCTAACACAAGTTTAACATGCTGCAAATGTTCCTCTAGACTTGTGCTATAAATGAGAATATCATCAAAATATACTACTACAAATTTACCTAAGTACTCATGTAAGACATGGTTCATTAGTCGCATAAAGGTGCTTGGTGCATTAATAAGGCCAAAAGGCATGACTAACCACTCATATAACCCGTACTTAGTCTTAAAAGCAGTCTTCCATTCGTCCCCCTCTTTAATTCTAATTTGATGATATCCAGATTTTAGATCAATTTTTGTGAATATAATTGCCCAGTGTAATTCATCTAACATGTCATCTAGACGAGGGATGGGATGACGATACTTTACCGTTATGGTATTGATAGCTCGGCAGTCCGTGCACATCCTCCAAGTCTCGTCTTTCTTTGGCACAAGGATGACTGGAATAGCACAAGGGTCTAAGCTTTCTCTTGCCCATCCTTTGCCTAGAAGCTCCTCCACTTGCCTTTGAATTTCCTTGGTCTCCTCGGGGTTGCTTCTATAGGCCGGTCGGTTAGGTAGGGGTGCACCAGGTATGAGGTCTATTTGGTGTTCAATACCCCTCACGGGTGGCAATCCACTTGGCACATCATCGGGGAAAACATCCTCATACTCCTGCAAAAGCTTAGAAAAAGAACTAGGCAACGAAGGCACAAATGTGTTAGCATCATTCGAAACTTCCTTGGTATAAAATAGGAGTATGGTTTTGCCTCCAAGTAGCCCTTTCCTCACATCTTTGGCTTTTGCACTTAACAATATTTTTCCCTCTTGTTTTACCTCAAGATCCATCCCATTTATTGCCTTTTCCCGCTCATTTTGCACGGATCTTTTCCTTTCTTTTCTTTCTTGTTGTTCAATTTTTTTCCTCTCATCAACTTTCTCACACTCATGCTGGATTTTCATTTGGTCCTCATACACTTGCTTAGGTGTGAGTGGTGCAAATGTGATCTTCTTTCCTTTGTGTAGGAAAGTGTACATGTTGGTACGATCATCATGGCTAGTACTTCTATCAAATTGCCATGGTCTACCAAGTAAAATATGGCTAGCCTGCATAGGTACTACATCACAAAGTACTTGATCCTCATAAGCTCCAATTTTAAAAAAAAATGAGTACCTGTTGAGACACTCGGATGTCTCCACAATTGTTTAGCCATTGTTGACGGTATGGTTGGAGGTGCTCACGATTTGGAAGCGCTAATGCTTCGACCATCACTAAGCTTGCTACATTGGTGCAGCTTCCAGGGTCTATTACCAAACTACACACTTTACTATTTATATGGCATTGGGTGTAGAAGATGTTCTCACGTTGGATCTCCTCTTCCTTAATGTGTGCGGCTACTGCGCGCCTTGCCACGAGTCCTAACCTCACGGACTCCTCCAACGGTGGTTGTATGAATGCTTCCATGTTGCCCTCCTCTTCCAATAGTGGCATTTCCTTGTATTCTTTCTCATCATCGGATATTATCTCTCCGCTTGGAAGTACGATCATTGTTTGATTTGGACATTAGCTAGCAATATGGCCAAGTCCTTGGCACCTCCAACATTTGGTGTCACGACTCCTTGCTCGAGGAGGTTCATTGTTCAACTTTGAGAGGACTTTACCTTCCTCCTTGAATGGCGTCGGCTTTGGTTTGGTTGGAGTGGTATAGCTTCCCGAGGGCTTGAACTCCCTTCTCGGATTGCTAGTACGGCTATAAGAGGGTGATGGTGTAGAAAATGTCCTGTTTTGGTCCCTCCTCTTAAGCCTTCATTCCACCTTCAAAGCTTTCTCGAGCATGCCTATTATTTCCACGTAATGGTACATCTCGACCTCATCCGCGATTTCTGCTCGTAGACCACTAAGAAATCTTGCCATGGTAGCTTCTCGATCCTCCACAATGTCCGCTCGGAGTATGATTACCTCCATCTCCTTATAGTAATCTTCAACACTTTGATTTCCTTGCCTTAAGTTTTGTAACTTGTGGTACAAGTCACGATGGTAATGGCTAGGAACAAAGCGTTTGCGTATAAGGACCTTCAACTCAGACCAAGTAGTGATCTCAATGTCTCCACTACGCCTTCGACTAGTGGTAATTTGGTCCCACCAGATGATGGCATACTCGGAGAATGCCATGACTGCTAGTTTCAGTTGTTCCTCCTCCATATAGTCATTGCAATTGAACATAAGTTCAACTTTCTTTTCCCACTCGAGGTAGGCATTCGGATCGGATTTCCCTTCAAACGGTGGCACTTGCAGTTTGATTCCTTTGATCGCCTCTCCTCTAGGTCTGTAACCCCTGTTGGCTTTCCTTGTGCGTGGTCCAACCACATCGTCAAAGTAGTTGGAGCTATCCGATTCCTGTTGGACGGATCTCCTTTGGTTCCGACTCCCTCGTGTTCCACTTTGGGTAGCTTTGACTTTGACAAGTCATTCATGGACAATTTCCAATTTTTGGTCCATGATTCGGTGGACATCTCCCTTTAAAGTTTCGACAAAGAGTTTGAAATCAAAAACTGAGGGGCTATCTCCTGCGCAAGACATGCTTAGGATACCTGCAACAAAGGTTAGTTTTTTTTTTGGAAATAATTTCCTCACTCGCTCCCTTAGTGTTTAGTCTCGCTCTCGTGTATCACCTACTCTCGTGTATAGGCTCACAAGAGTTTCTCAAAGCTAGATTTTACCTTTGAAGAGGTTAGATCAGTTCAATAAGTTGTTCAATGGCCTATCAATGAAGGACGCAAAACAGATTGTGGATCTCGACTCAATTAAGGCAATTAGTTGTGGTCAGATTTGGAACTTTTAATAACGAGACAAGCAATGACTCACTAAAACAGATTTGGAAACACGACTAGACTTGACTCAACCGACTCTATCAAAGTAAGAGATAAAATGGCGAAAATTTGTGGATCCTAGAAGGACGTACCCGATCTTGCACT